GCGTTGCTCTGCAGAGCGCTGAGGATGCCGAGAGGGGAGATGACGAAGCCGCTGCTGAGGAACCCGCTGGAGACCGAGCAGGCGCTGCCCGAGCCCGGCGGCCTGACCGTGGGCATTCTGGGCAGCGGGGACTTCTCCCGCTCCCTGGCCCTGCGCCTCGTGTCCTCGGGGCACAGGGTGGTGGTGGGGAGCCGGCACCCCAAAAGGCACGCGGGTCTGTTCCCCGCCGCCGCCGAGGTCACCACGCAGCAGGACGCCGCCGGCCGGGCCGACGTGGTCTTCGTGGCGGCCTTCCGCGAGCACTACGCCACGCTGTGCGGCCTGAAGGAGGCGCTGGCGGGGAAGGTGCTGGTGGACGTCAGTAACAACGCCGAGCTGAACCTCCATCAGCAGTCCAACGCCGAGCACCTGGCGGAACTCTTCCCAGAGTGCACGGTGGTGAAGGGGTTTAACGTCCTCTCTGCGTGGGCGCTGCAGTCGGGTCCTAAAGATGGCAGCAAGCAGGTAAGGTCAGCGGAGTGAAAGCTGGGAGGGTGGCACAGGTCTCGTCAGTGTCTAGATATCTAGTATGGCATAATATGATCAGAGATCAATGGTGGGGGGGTTGACCATGTCTTTAGTTAAATTCCAACCTCATTGGAGCATTTTATTGTGGGAATATGACAAACCCACCTCGGGTTTAGTCCATCCATCCATATTCAAGCCACTTTATCCAATTCATGGTCGCAGGGGAGGTGGAGCCTATCCTAGTAAGCAACGGGTGCAGAGAAGGATAGACCCTGAACGGGACACCAACCTATTGCAGAGCCCATACAGACACAAACACCAGTTAGCCAGTTAAGCTCCCAGCATGTCTTCGGCCTGTGGGAAGGAAACCCAAGCACCCAGAGGAAACCCACGCAAAAGCCGGGAGAACATGCAAACTCCACCCAGACAGCAGCCCGGGTCTGGAATTGAACCCAGGACCCCAGCGATGCGACACAGCGGCGCTAACCGCTGCGCCACCGTGCCGCCCCTCCCGTTCGGTCATTCTTGGAAAGTGTGGAAGCTGGAACACGGCCCTTGTGACTCGGTGTCCTTGTCCCTCCCTCAGGTGCTGCTCTGCGGTGACAGCGGCGAGGCCAAGAGCACGGTGGCTCACCTGGCCCGTGCCATGGGCTTCATCCCAGTGGACATGGGGTCCCTCCCGTCCGCCCGGGAGATCGAGAACATCCCCCTGCGCCTCTTCCCCTCCTGGAAGAGCCCCGTTCTCTGCACCCTGGGGCTCTTTTCCTTTTTCTACGCCTACAACTTCGTCCGGGGGGTCATCCACCCCTACGTCACCAAGGGTCAGAACAGCTTCTATAAAATCCCGGTGGAGATGGTCAACGTGTCCCTGCCCTGCGTGGCCTACGTCATGCTGTCCCTGGTCTACCTGCCTGGGGTCCTGGCAGCCTTCCTGCAGCTGCGCCACGGCACCAAGTACCGGCGCTTTCCCGACTGGCTGGACCGCTGGCTGCAGCAGAGGAAGCAGATCGGCTTGCTGAGCTTCCTCTGCGCAGCTCTGCACGCCGTCTACAGCCTGTGTCTCCCCATGCGCAGGTCTGCGCGCTACCGCCTGCTCAACGAGGCCTTCAAGCAGGTAAACCCCCTGAGACCGGTGGGACTCTGAAAGAAGCTGTACGATAGTGAACAGTCTAATTATATGAAGCCGGAATGCACGAGCACTTTAGAGATCTTATTCAATACATTACAATACTGCTGTTGAAGATCATTAAACAATAGCTCCCTAAGATCCATAAAATGTCAAGTGCTTCAGTATTCAGTCATTGCCTGCAGTCATGATTCGTGGGGAGTGGCGGTACAGACGATGCTGTGTAGGCTACACTCCCGCTGGTGGGGTTCCTACACAAGGGCAGTGCTGAGAGTTGTCTCTTTTCTCCCGCTAGATAGTTATAGCTGGGGGTTTGTCCTTTTCTATTAACTCTGTTGAGCCAACACCATTATTTAACTGTGTCCCTGTATTAATTCAATTACAGATCTTAAATAGCAGTTCATTTCACTCGTTCCTTATATAATCTGCACATCTTAACACTTGACAACAACTCAATGGGGAAGCAGCCTCCCTAATGCACACGGTTAGTAAATTTAGTGTGGTACTGTAGCTGTCTGGGGGCTCAGCTCTTGTGAAATGTATCCAGTAGCCAACATCAGAAAAACATCAGAGGATTAATTACACACCTCCGCTGTAAAGGGTGGTGAATAAGTCATCCGAATCCTGCTCAATGTGTGTCATGACCTGCAGTGAAAAGTGAGGCACAACGAGAGATGTTTAAATGAAAGTATTTTGGGTAAAAATAAAACTGATTTGATTCAAGTGCTGTATAAGGTGACCACAAAGTACTTAAGCCCTTGACATCTTAGGGAGCTATTGTTTAATGATCTTCAACAGCAGTATTGTAATGTATTGAATAACTTCCTTGTTCCGTGTTTCCTTGGAGTCTCACAAGGGGATAAGGCCTTTTTATTTCGAGATTTTTCCACTGAGAGGAAACGTGCGTGGGCGTATTATTTTAAGCAACCCTGGCCATTTAAGGTGGATGTTTCAGAATTTACAACTTCACCGACTTTTAATGCGTCCTTTTAAATTTGTATTTAATCTGTCCCTTGCTGAGCTGAACCACACTAGCACAGAAAAATAGGCCTACAGTGTTTATTTAGCACAGTAGAACAGCATTGTATAATAGCTGATCCATTGTTCAACTTTGGGTTTTTTTCTGATTATCAAAACGAAGTGATCTGTATTGCTTTCTACATCATGCTAATAGCTCTCTAATGGCACGGGGCTGGAGAGAAAGGAGGGCTGTGATAAGACCTTCTGGAGTGTGCCCTATTTAATGCTTTCTTTGACTCCTGAAAATGTCAAGAAACAGAGCACTGCTAACCTCTTAGGTCATTGTGTCTACTCAGGGACTCAGTCTGAATTAATTTCTTTATCCGCATTAGGTGACATTTTCAAAAAGGTACCAACACTTTTTTTTTTTAAAGAAAATGAATAAATATAAGGCAGCCGAGTCACCTCACGCCACCTTGTGGTCTTATTATTCAGTGGCACATCCACGTTTAAGATGTTGGCAGCTCAGACACATCTTTACCCAACCACCACCCTGGAAAATATTCAGCGCGTAAGGTTATTAAGCATAGAAATTCTGTTACAGTACATGCCAGGGCACCTAGTTCTCTTGAGCTCAAGTTCCGCCTCAGCCAAAAGGTGCTGAGTAATTTCAAACAGTTTAATCACCTTTTTGGAATTAAACCGACTTAAATGATAACGCACACATAGCCTTGCATGAGAGAAGATTCTAAGAGTGGACAAAAATCGTTTATACCTCCGCTATCTGTACGCACCAGAACTGCTAAGTGTGAAATAATTTAAGATGCTATTATTTAAGCTTTAATTTGGTATTCTGAGCTGCTGCTCTGGGTTAAAGTTTTGTTTGTTTTAGCTCCATGCCTGCAATCATTTTGAGTGTACATATTACCGCAGAGCGCTTTCACCCCAGAATGGAGCCCTGCAGTAAGAGGCTCGTTCAGATCGGCTGGGGGCCTTGTTTATTAGCAGTTTCTCATCTTCGCTGCGGGCTGGCACCGTTTTTACTTGACACCTCCAGCGACTTAATTAGTGCCGAGGCAGGTGGTCAAGGATGTTAAAGTTGGCAGTTTCCTTCGCTTTGTTTCCCAAATTTCAGCAAAAATGGACTTCATATTGGGCAGACCAAAAATACTCGCTTGGGTTCCCAAATGTTCTAGTTTGCCGTTTTTCCCCGCACACGCCTCATGTGTCCATTTTGAGTGGCATCTCGGCCGCCGTGCAGTTCAGCAGGTCTCTCCCCCCGCCCCGCCCCCCCCCAGAAGGCAGACTCGCCATCTGCCCGTTCAGCAGTGTTGACTGTGGCACCCTGAGCCACGCCCAGCCTCCTGACACTCGGTCCTACCAGAGCAGCGCTTTCGAAATAGCTCCCTGACCGCGGCTTCGACAGACGGGTGTGCGAATGCAGTCCCTGAGTCAAAATCCTTCATTTCCAAAAGCGGGAAGTCCGTTATCTAAACTAAGCTTGTTGAAATGGCCTTGGCTTCCAGAATGTGATGAAAACAAAGTCCCCTCCCGCCCCCATCAGACAGATAGAGAAGTCCTTAGTGGCGAGGGAAGAAAAGGGTTCAGACACAACAGGCCGTCCTGTGGTCGTTCAGAGCTACAGAATACAGGGCAGGATACGGCTGCCCCGTGGCGCGGGGGTGTGTGACGGTGCCGCTCGTGTGCCCGCAGGTCAAGGCTGGCCAGGAGAGCGTCTGGGTGGAGGAAGAAGTGTGGAGGATGGAGATCTACCTGTCCTTTGGCATCCTGGCCCTGGCGGTGCTCTCGCTGTTGGCGGTCGCCTCGCTGCCCTCGGTGGGGAACGCGCTGAACTGGAGGGAGTTCAGCTTCATTCAGGTGACCCGCGCGAACCCGCCCGATGGCTCATGGCACACGTCGGCATCATGCTGCAGTTTTTGCTCATGATGGATTGATTGGTGGGCTGCGACACAAGCACATCCCATCCACCCCTTTCCTAACAGCTTTATCCAACACAGGGTCACGGGGGAGCGGATCTGGACAAGCACCTGGCACGAGGCAGGATACACCTTGGATGGGACACCAGTCCATCACAGGGCAACACACACGCACACTAGGGCCAGTTTTCCCAGAAGCTAATTAACCTACCAGTATGTCTCTGGGCTGTGGGAGCAAACCCAAAACCTGGGGAGAACACGCAGACTCCCCACAGATAGCACACCAGGATTTGAAACCAGGGCCCCGGCATTGTGAGGCAGCAGTGCCAACCTCTGCACTGCCGTGCCGCCCCTACAAGCATAGTGTTGCGTATAATTTGGCATCAGATCCACACTGACTTGCTGTGCTACCAAAGTCTTGATAGTAACATCCTTCAGCACTGCATTCTCGTAGGGGGGCACTCTACTGTCAATGGTTTTCTTCTTCAGCTGCTGTAAGCACTCTCCGTGGCCTTATTAAGGAACAAGAAGCAGGCATTCGAGTCAGCAGGTCGCACTCTTGGTGTGAAAAAGACAGTAACTGCCATCTGGGCTCATAGAAAAGGTTTCCCCTTCCTGTGTGAAAGCTCAAGTGTTTCTTATGTCAGTGCTTTTGTGTTTACAGTACGAACAAAAAGTGGTGACTTGCTGCACAGTGCTATGGCAGAGTAGAGGAGTTTTTGTTGTATCCCTTGTTTCCACAGTTATAAGTAATTTAATCTCTCAAGGGCTTAAAAATTACAATGACTAAATTTGGATACTTATGTATTCTAACTTCCCATGAGTAGGTGATCCACTTATCTCCTCATCAAACACTCTCTCTTCCCTTGCAACATAGTATTTAGCTTCACACTGTTGTATTCCGGAAAATGGAAAAAAGGATAATACAGTGTTTGTCATAATGTCTGTCTTAGGCTTCACATTTTTGAACTAGACCCTCTGTCCTGGACAGGCAGTGGTGTCTGGTCATTGCACAGGACTGGCCCTTGTATCCAGACCACAGGGCAGAAGCCAGAGCCAGCGAGCTCTGTCTTTAAGACAGCTGGACAGACTGTAGAAGAACGAACATTACAGCACATCCTTAGCTTCACAGCAGATAGCCTTCAAACGTAACAGCCTGCAAAGCTTCTTGGTCATGGCCATTGAAAACCTGTTAGGCTTTCTTTGCCTTGGAGTTTGTAGTAAGTACATGCAATAATGGTTCCATTTATAAGGGATTTACTTTTTCCTGCACTGCTTTTGAACCTCCTTTAATATTTATGTTAAGCTGATCCACTTGGTGTAAGATTAGTCACATGCTGGTACACCTTCAAATGAATGTGGAAAGAAATTGCTGTGCCCATCGTACCCTAGAGTTTGCTGCGAGAATGAAAAATACAATGTGAGCTTTATTCGGCATTAAAATAGATGGAATTATTCAGGCTGATCTGCAGACACAATCCAGTCTTGCGAACCTGCAGCATCCAGGTTAAACAACACTGCAGCATATTTTGCCAATAACACTCCTATTATTGCTGACAAAACAAAATGTCAGTATGGCCAAGGCATTGTGATTGAGCCATGTCTATCTGATTAACTGAGAATACCTGCTTGTACAAAAGCCTACATAATGGTCTGTTTTTAATCTGAACCAGACCAGACTATAGAGACCACAATGAATTCGCTCTCACACATTAACACTTCCACCCTTGTAAAAGTTTGACAATATGTAATGGTGGTGAAGTACATCGTGGCCATCATGTCTTGTAGGGTTAAAGATGGTGCCTGCCAGAAGGATAAAAATAATGATTAAGGTCCTGATTTACAGCCGGCCTCCATTTCTTCCTTCATAAACGCAGACTGTTCACGCTCACAAAGCACACACGAGCTCGTGGGTCAGACCGCACCCGACGGTCGCTCTGCTTGCACAAAATAAATGCGCACCGCGAGGCTGCTGGGGGCAGGGGCTGGAGCTGCCCGAGTCCGTGTGTTGACCGAAGGCCCACGAGCCCGTGCGGTTTGCGAGCGGGCCCGTTCGACCGCCGATCGACGCCCGTTTTCCGTCTCCCCCCCGCAGTCCAACCTGGGGTACAGCGCCCTGCTGATCGCCACCCTGCACACGCTGGCGTTCGGCTGGAGGAGAGCCTTCGACCCCGACCAGTACAGATTCTACCTGCCGCCCACCTTCGCCGTGGCCCTGGCGCTGCCCTGCGCCGTGCTGCTGGGCAAGGTGTGCCTGCTGCTGCCCTGCGCCAGCCTGCAGCTGACCAGGATCCGCAGGGGCTGGGAGAGGGGGCAGCAGATCCGGTTCCGGCTGCCCGAGGACGGTGCCGCCCTAGAGGACGTCAGCAACGTCTGACTGGGGAGGAGGCAGTGCCAAAACAGCAAGCGTGCCTTCCTGACGGGCGCCATCGCCTCCCGGCAGCGCAGCCCAGAGCAAACCCTGCCTGACGGACGACACCAGAACCGCTGGCTTGGCTGTGCTTCGTGCCTGTCCCTGCTTGAACTGCGTTCGAGTCCTGCAGTCCTGCCCTTTCTTTCTTTTGTTCACTGGCCTGTCGACACCCGGGAGATGTTTATGTTTTTTTTTACGTTTTAAAAAAAGCTGAATTACTTTATCAGCTGGATCACCAGTTGCTGGGCCCAGTATCTGAGATACAAGCAAGCGCGTGGGTTTCTGGTCCTGTGTTTCAGTTCGGCTGTGACGTAACCCCTGTCTTCGGTGATGGCAAACCACAGTGAAGTGAATGCCCTTTTCCAGCAGCTTCCCACGATTCCGCCTGCTGCTGCTCCCCAAAAGGCCCTTGAGCTGCTGTCAGCCTCTCGCTTTCATTCGAAGTATGACGGGCTTTATCTGGGTCAGGAAACACAACAGATGACTTTGCTCTGCGCAGCGCTGTGAGGTAAAAACACTGTCCTTGCCTGGAAGAATGAACTAGAATCCCACGTCTCCAAAATCATTCGAACAGTGCTCGTTTCTGACGCGTTAACACCAAGCAGCCCGACTGTAACACTAAGATGGACTTTGCTACTACAGTTAATTTTAGAATGTACTTCAATCTCAGACTTCTTGTAGTCCCGACTGAGTAGGTTTTCAGAGACATTTTCCCAGGATAGCCTGGAGCCCAGGGCTGGGATGGAGATCCGTCTCCCTTGTTACAGAAATGTCTCCATTTATAAAGCGACACGTTCACTTCTGATAACGTCTGCAAACGTACCCCCCCTCCCCCGTGGAGTAGGGGGAGGACGAAGATGCCTTCCAGAGTCTTCTGGCCTCAGAGGCAGGACTTGGTAAGGCGCAGTATCTAGAGGAGCTGCGGCCATGACTTCTGTAGACACTGCAGTCCTCTTGTTTTTTTTACAGCCTGTGTGCCCTGCTTTAAAACCCACCCCTTCGGGCCTTTCATCGGAATGTTTAAAAAAAACGAGAAGGCGGTTTTGCTCCAAATCCCGTCTCCCGCTGGAGTACTGGGGAAAGGGTTATCTAAGAGTTGTTCAGAGAATGATATTCTATGAAATATAAAATGGTCTCGTTGGCATGGGTAGGCTTCAAGTTTCGTTCATGTGCAGAACGGGTTCCTAAAATTAACTATACGCATTTATAAATGATATTAATGAAAAAAGTTTAATATAATGTTTGTACTCTGAGAGTCTTATATCTGTTACACAAATTCTATTTTATTTATCCTGCCTAGATCTCAAAATATGCTACCATTGTCGGTACAGTACATGGACTGCAAAGTATTAGTAGAAGGCATTAAAAATCAAGACTGCTGGACATTAGTACTGCTTGTTAGCAGTAAGTGTTTATATTTTCAGCTAGAGGTTATGCTTTAATTAGTAGGAAAACTGCAAAACAGCCTTTGATTCTGAATGTGGCTCTCAAACTTTACAAGAGCCTGGTATGTTTTTTTTACAAGCATTCTTTCTTTTTACACTTAATATAATAATATATTATACACTTAATAATCAGTTTCCCTACGGGATTAATAAAGTCTGATCTATCAAATATGCAGTCATCTTTGCTGGTTGGTAAAACCAATTTTTGAGCACTGATAGACTAAACACATTTTATATTTTTGTCTACCTTGCAAAGACAAAGCATGTCTGTTGTCTTCATCAGGATGTTACATGAATGTTGTATTTATGTGCAAAAATCAAAATTCAGGGTTTCATGTTTTAAACAGTATCTGGTGTTCTGCTTACTGTTATGTTACTTGCCTTTTGCTTGAGTTGAATGGAGATCCGTGTGCTTATTTTGCAATAAAGTGGATGCTTTTCATTATCCGAGATAATCAGAAGTTTATTCCATGAACAAGATGGGTTTTAATAATAATAATTGCTTACACTTATATAGCGCTTTTCTGGACACTCCACTCAAAGCGCTTTACAGGTAATGACAGGGACTCCCCTCCACCACCACCAGTGTGCAGCCCCACCTGGATGATGTGACGGCAGCCATAGTGCACCAGAACGCTCACCAAACATCA